GGCGCCGATAGGTGAATTCGAATCTTCTGCCCCTGGCGATGCGTAGCCTCCGGCCAGGTTTGCCAGCGTGGGAAGATGGGCCCGGGAATGCGGATGTGCCGTGCCATGCTGGAATTTGGATATTGTCACTCCGTCGGCTGTCCCAGTTTCACGATGCTGATTGTCGGCGCCAGTCTCGGCACATCCTGGAAATGTGCTATTTCGAGCCGTGTTTTGAAGAAATTGCCTTTGAAGTGTGATACCGGTGGTCAATTTGGTCCCGGGCGCCCCGGCCTCCCGCTGCCGCAGCGGCGCTGTCGTGTCCTGTTTCCCAGACTGACGGTGTCCGTTCGCCGCGCGTAGGAGGCTGCGTGCCTGGGGGCCTGCGTCCATCCGTCCCCCCGGCCCCCCTTGACCGGGGTTGGGACCCATTGCTGGACCCTTCCACGGTCAGCGGCGGTGAGACGGCTCTGTAAGGGCCGCAGGATAATGGCGTTTGGCGGCGCAGTCTCAGATCCGTGTTTGTCCTGCCGTCCGGTGTCGGCCAGATGGTCGGCGGGTCAGCGGTGTCTGGTCGCCGGCGCGCTGCTGTTATGAAGGATGAATTTTGGAACGGGTTGATTTGGGGAGGGAAAATGAAACGCGCCAGCGTTACATTAGCATGAACATTAGTTTGCCCAGCGTGTTAAGTAACTATAGTAAGCCAGCTCTGGATCGGCCATATAGTCGCGGGTCGCGGCTAGTCTCGACCTCAAGTTCTTGCGCCCTGAATTCTGACTATTTGTTTGAACATCGAGGGTGAGCTCATGCAATAGACACAGGAATTTGTAGTTCTGGCCAGGTCGATAGGAGGAGGGCAGAGGACTACTGCATGACGTTCAGTGACCGTTTACAGATAATGGTCGCCCAGAGATGCATTAGACCTATTGTGTTTGGAAACCGTTGGACTGTTCCTCGGTGCCCTCCGCGTCTCTGTCGGTGACAGACCTGCGCTCCACGTTTTCCGAGCGTAACGAGACAGTGGGCGACATCGCCTGCGGAAACATGGGCCGTGACGAGTCGGCGGGCTGTACCTCTCTGTGTGTGACCACATGAACTCCCAGGAGTCCCTCTTCTGCGCTGATGGCCCTATACGTGCAGTGCAGCTGAGGGACCCCGCGCCATCCATACCAATACGGCAGCTCCTCAGGGAACAAACAGTTCAGGGATGCCAGCTCACAGCTGAGAGATCTGTTCAGGGGCAGCAGCTGCTAGAAAACTGCTCTGAGACAGCAGCTGGTAGTCGTACTGCCTGTTGATGTTATTTGTTGAGTTGTCGAATAAATATGTGTCGGAGTTGTGTGCAGCATTAGTCGGTTTCAAATGCGCTCTGTTCACGGCGGGAATCCATACTATCGTGCGGAGCATGTGGCGAGCCACGGCCTGAGGCCTGGGATCTGGAGTCGGGGACCGGGCCGCGGCGGACCGGGACTTGTTTACCAGCTACCGGGCGTGGCGCGGACGCAGACGGCGTGCACCGGTCCGTCTCATCGCTCACTGCCGACGGCGGAAGTGGGCCGGCGGCGGGGCGGCGACCGGAACGCGCCGCGCCACGCGGAACAGCTCATCAGACCGATCTGCTGCGGCGGAACAGCTCATCAGACCGATCTGCTGCGCCGCCACGACCACCCGAGCGGGACGCCGGCCGCCGCGCGATCCGGCTGATCTTCATGGCTGTGAGTCCTGAGGATGACCCCGACTGCACTGCCCCTCAGGATGGCCGAGTGCACTCAGCGCGACGGAGAAGGGCGTGAAAGAGATAGGTGAACGGTTCTCTGATCACTGCCAGGAGTGGATGCCGGATGGACATGTTTCCCGAACGGTCTCAGACTGAAAGCAATTCGAGCTGGCATCCGAGCTAATGATCCTGGTCGGCTACAACGGTCCGTAGAAGCGACCTGTACCCTATGTTGGGCGAATCATCGTCGTAATCGGTGTTGTCAAAATAGCATACTAAAAGAGCTGGCATTCGTAAAATCGCATTATCAGCGATTTTTCCTCGCAACTCTCCAGCCCTCGCCCTGGCAGGGGGGGGGGGGTCGATGCGACCCCCCCTAAGGTTTTTCGAAGAAAGCGTAAAAACGGCGGCGCACAGCGCCGCCAAATTTGGCACAGCCTATGGGGCAACCTTTTTACATATAACCTGAAAATTTCCGGTCCGGGTGACCTTGGGTCAGGTCACCAGGTCAGAAAAACCGGTACAAGGTCATGGTCAAATTTCAATTTTCTTTTTGCACCTGTCCAACTCACAGTTTTGGACTGATTTCCTTCAAACTTTCAGGATGTGCTAAGTTCACCGAGTTGTATAACATATAGTTCGGGTTTTTTGAGGTCACTGACCTGAGGTCAGTTAGAGGTCATTACGTCGTAATGTTAAGCCTATGGAAAATACTAAATTCCAAAAATACTGGAGATATCTACTTCTTTCTATCACTTTTGTGCTTTGAATCCATAGTAATTAACAGCAGGTCACTTGGCGCTTCGTTGTTTGGTGTACTTATCCATGGGTCAGGTCAAATGAGGTCAACTGAGGTCAAATGACGTTTTTGCCAATAACTTGGCACATAATGACGCTAGAGCTTAAAAAATGGTATCATTGTGTTCCTGGTGATCAGCCGAATCGAATGATATGCGATATGATGCAATTTGGTTAACTTGAACTTAATGTATATTTTAAGTTTACTTAAAATTTAAGAAAAACTTAAAGTACACTTACGCAAGCTAAAAAGTATATCGTTCGACGCGCCTTGACGTGCTGAGTTCACTGGTGCTTTTCTTTTTGCTCTATCTTATTTAGATCAAAAGTTATAAGCGAAAAACTTTTGACCTTTTTTTAGCGAAATTTTTACATTGATACCCCCCAAAACCCCCCTAAATATTGACCTAGAGCAACCAAATTTGCACAGGGGCGAGAACTCCAGGGGGCCCACCTACCTACCAAATTTGGTGTTTCTAGGTGCCATAGGAGCCAATCGCGAGGGGGGGTCGCATCGACCCCCCCCCTGCCAGGCCGTGTTATGAAAAATGCCCTGTCAGGGCGAGGGCCAGTATCGTAGTACATATATAGAGAGAGCGAGTGTTCAGCGATTGAATCTGTATGCCTGTGTTTCTTGCCCCCGCATGTTTTTGTTTGTACCCGACTCAGACTCTGCACGGAGCTGGTATCTAGGGTCGTTGAATTATCATCACCTAAGGCGATGGGTGTTCCGATCCCATCAATATTAAATACGGAGGGCATCAACTCCCTTACCCGCTCAGTTCCTGTTCTGTCGATTGTTGGATGGCCAAGGACCAGTGGGAGTAGTGTTGTGTACTGATAACCTACTGCAGTTCTGGTCGCGAGAGGATCGGGCGAACAGAGACATCCGATCCCTCGGCTGAGCAAGAAGGCTAACACTGTTCGTCATTCCTGCTTACAATTCAGCCCGGACACGCTACAAACAGACCCTCATTCGTTCCATGATGACATCCATGCTCCTTGCGGAAGTTTTTTGGCCGAGCGTGGCGTTTTTGTCGCGGACTAGCCTCGTGGAACAAATGGGACTGGTGGGTCGGTGACGGGTGTGTTGATGGGACTGGTGGGTCGGTGACGGGTGTGTCGATGGGACTGGTGGGTCGGTGACGGGTGTGTTGATGGGTCTAGTGGGTCGGTGACGGGTGTGTTGATGGGACTGGTGGGTCGGTGACGGGTGTGTTGATGGCACTGGTGGGCTGGTGACGGTTTTGCAGTGTCCATAATATTATATATATATATATATATATATATATATATATATATATATATATATATATATATATATATATATATAATAGTCAAACACGTGGGTCGCTGACGTACTGTGGACGGGGGGAGGGCACACGAAAAATGGTTGCACCTGCTCCGATTATATCTTTGGCCTAGTCAGCACAGGGGGGGGGGGGGGGGGTGATGCAACTCCTAAGGTTTTCGCAACTAAGATAATTTTTTTCATTACTTATAGTTTTTGCGCCAGCTTAGGTCACGTTTTGGTCAAGGCCAGGTCAAGGTCAGGGCAAGGTCAGGTCAAATTAGGTCAACTTTCAAAGTTGATATTTTTGCATAAAATGGGAATCGATTCGATGCAGCTCATCACGGGGAGTTCAATGGTGGTCTTTGTTTTTCCCTACGTGGTCTAAAATCGCTAAAAATTGAGTTCAAAAATTAAACGTCATCAATTTTTAACGGTTTTTTTCGCTATTACTTGGCCAAAAAAAGAGGTATCGATCTAAAATTTGGTATGTATATCGAAGAGCGCAGGGACTATTACAAATAATCCGTTTTTTTCGAAATTCGAAAATTTTTGGGAAATTTTTTGAGTTTTTCTAAAAAAATCAATTTTTTATTTTTTGGGGTCAAAATCCCAAAATTTCGAAAATCCGAGATTGCAGTTTTGTAGCGCCGTCTTTTCTCTACACAACCACATAAAGAACTTTAAAATTGCTTGTTAACTGTATGTAGAATTGGTGAGCGTTTCAAGATGTCATGCTTTTTGCTCATTTTTACTCGAACATGACCTCAGTTTGACCTCAATAACTCCTGACCTGAGGTGACCTGTGACTTGAAATTTTGTGTTAAGGTGTCAAATTGATGCCCGGTAAGGTACCCAAAATTTGGCGGCGCTGAGCGCCGCCGTTTTCTCGCTATTTAAGAAAAACCACAGGGGGGCCAAAATGCCCCCCATCAGGGCGCGGGTTAAGACAGCGAGGGGGAGCGATAAACGACCCCGGGCACTAGTGGTTGGAATTGCCCCCGGACCATGCCAATTCACTTCCATATCTCAAAGCCGTAGCCGTGTTCCGGAGTACATGTATTTGGCACCCCGCCCGTCGCCGTGGGGATGCAGCCAGCCGCGGCTTATACCGCCGGCCTCTGCTGGTCAGCGGTCAAACCCACCGGAGCCGATCAGGCGCAGGACCGAGCGTGAGACACTCGCCCAGTGCGAGTACTTTGATACACATAAGAATATCCCAACAATGCATCTTTATTTAATCATCACTCAAATACAGACGGTCAACAGACAACACATAACATGGCTTGATTTTTAATAGCAGCTCTTATAACCCCATGTGTGAAGTGTGAATATCCCCTTCATTCCCATTTGTGGACCACGGGTCTGTAAATAAAGTATCTCTCTCTCTCTCTCTCTCTCTCTCTCTCTCTCTCTCTCTCTCTCTCTCTCTCTCTCTCTCTCTCTCTCTCTCTTATAATAAATAAGGTATTACGCTAGAGACGTGTTCCCTGTGAAGGAAATTGCGAACACAAAATAAAACGATAAACTTATATAAGAAAATGCACGCTCGTCTAAAAATGTAAGACCCTGGACAGCTCACTCAGACCCCATAGTGCCCCCAATGACCCAATATTCCACCCAGTGGACTTATTGGCCCTATCCGTCGGCCCCTGTATAAGACATCGGACAGTCACTGTGGACATGGGATAGTCATATGGCCATCAGATGATCCCTATAGACATGGGAAGGTCCCTGTGGATATGGGATGGCACCTGTGGACATGGAACGGCCCCTTTAGACATGGGACGGTGCCTGGGGACATGGGGCCGGCGGCCGTTGTCACCCGTCAGCCTCAGTTGGCGGCAGGGTCGCGGCAGTACTCGCCGTCAGCGGCGCTGGTCCAAATCCACGAGAGCGCGTCGGTGACCCTGGCGTACACGCCCGGGTATTTTTCAGTCGCGCAGCCGATGGACCGGGAGACGACGCCGACGAGCGAGTAGCGGTCGTTCTCCAGGCTGACGAGCGGGCCGCCCTGATCTCCATCACACCAGCCCTTGTGGTTGGCGTTGTCGGTGCAAATCATGCTGGAGGTGATGATTCTTTTGTCAGCATAGGCCGACGCGCATTCAGAGTAGCTGATTATGGGGACGGTAACCTCGTGCAGCGTGTCGGGCTTGGGACCGCCTTGCGAGGTGGTGCCGAAGCCGGTGACGATGGCGTCGGCGCCGACAAAGTCGTTGGAGGCGGTCGGCATGCAGGCGGGTGCGATCTTATTGTCGGCGGGGAAGGTGATGGCCGTGGCCAGCCTCAGCAGGGCAAAGTCGTTGTGGTGTGTGTCCGGATGAGGATCGTAGTGCGGGTGCACCTTGATCTGGGCGACGTTGAATCGGATCTCGTTGTCGTCCTGGCCGGTGAGGTGCTTGCGCAGTTGGACCTTGATATCGCTGGCCGACGACCTGGCCGTGCAGCGGGCCGACGTTAGCACGTAGAGACTGTTGATGACGGTGCCGCCGCAGAAAGTAAGCTCTCGGTCTATCCTATATATAGCCGCCTGCCACGGGTACTCGTTGGCCTCGGTCTCCTCACCGCCGACGATGCGCGAGGCGCGGTTGACTTGGCCGCAGGCGCAGGCGTCGGAGGGCGGCGGCGTCTCTCCGACGGTGACGGTACACCCGAAGCCCGGCCGCACCTCCGAGAAGTCAGTGTGCCAGTGGATCGACATGCGGTCGATAGCAGCCACGTCACTCGGTCCGCTGGTGCTGCAATATCTAATGCCGTTCAGAGACAGCCAGTCGAACGAGCAGCTCGAGTCGTCCTCGACGTCGAACTGCGAGCACGTCACCGACAGCTGGTCGCCGGCCTGGTCGGCGTACAGCTGGTAGTAGCAGTCGACGTCGTTGCTGTAGTCGCCGTCGCCGTCGGTGATGGTGTACTTGCCGCGCGCCAGTCGGCTAGTACCGCAGCCGAGCTGTGAGCCGGCCGGCACCACGGTCGGCTCCACCACCGTCACCGTGCACCGGTAGCCCTTTTTGACGACGCTTTCGTCGCTGAAGAAGACGATGTCGAGACTAGATCCGCCCACGGCCGACGGCCTTCTGGTGCCGCAGTACATGACGTCGTTAACCCGCAGCCCGTCGAACTCGCACCATTGGCCACCCTCTAGCTCGAATGTCTCGCAGTTCAGCTGGAGCTCCTTACCGGTGTCGGTGGTGAACGAATAGGCGCAGTACGCGTTACTGTTGTAGTTGGACGGGTAGTTTGGCGACTCAATCACCGCCGACGAGCCCTCGGTGATAACGTGAGATCCGCAGCTCACCGCGCCGGAGCGCACGCTGGGAGTGCCAGTGTCGCCGAGTAGGGCCGTCTTCTTGTCATCCGACGCTGGCTTCTTCATACCATCTAAGTTCGGCTGCATACCATCAAACTTAGGCTTCTCAGCCGACAGCTTTCCGGTTTTGTACCTACCTTCCTTGTCTTGGAGTGTGCTGGGCAGCGCCAGAGCGCCGGCCAGCAGGCAGCCGAGGACCAGCAGCTGACACACCTTCATCCTGTGACCTCGGCGAGCGGAGGGCTGACTGGGACGACAGCACCGCGGGGCAGACCCTATTTATACTGCCTGGGCATGTCATCGCCACCACTTCAAAATGGCGCTTAGATGCATCTGTCTAAACCATCCTGGCTTCGTGTTTTGGTTATGACTGCGACGAACTGTCTACATAGGTGTGCGCTAGAAAACATCTGCAAAAAGACATGCGCACAGTGACTCATCACATCTGTTGCCTGTGACCTAGAAACGACAAATTTATATGTAAGTGCCCATGCATCTATGTAGTGTGCACTGTGCATAGTGCTCGACCACTGGGATAGCTTGCATCCCGTCCCCCTTTTCTCTTCAACTTGTTTGATTACCTATTTCATTCTCTTTTCAGGAAGTACCTACCGCGACTTTTCAATATGGCCGTGCCCAGTGAATTTCTTACTGTTAACGCAAAACCACTTGGGACCCTAATTTTACGCGGCTTCTTTTGAATACGTGAAATAATTGCGACAAAATTTAGTAACTGGCCGTTTCGAGACTGCCGTGACTTTTACATGCTGGTAATTTTGTCTTCATTTCAATATTTCAGGCACTTCGCATTGACTTGTTATGAAAATTTTCAGGAGATTTTCACGCAGTGTGTAGTGGCTATCATTATTCAAAGTCAGTCTGTGATACGAAGTGACGCCACTTCTAAGCCCCGGCTCTTTGGTCTTAGCCTGCGGCGGTTTCGGGCCGGAGAGTGGTCACTCGCGCTGCAGCGGAGAGTGGGGGAGGTTGGGCGGTGCAGAAAGCCGGCAGATTTGTGCGTGGCGTCTCGTCCGACAGTGCCCAAAGAAGAGCCACACGAGGAGCTGCAGCAATGCGTAATGCACATTGCATGTACACAGAGGCGGATCCAGCTCAGAGGTTTGGGGGGGGGGGGCAAACCATAACAATTTATCGATTCTTTCCATGCATCGTCCATAGGCGTAATGTTAAAATTATGTCGTTTGGGGGGGGGGGGCAAATGCCCATTTTGCCCCCCCCGGATCCGCCACTGCATGTACAGTACAGTGCAATGCAATCATTCGCTGATATTTTCTAAATTCTATAAGCTGCAAATGACGGGCAGAAGGCATATGACATCAAGTTAGGAAATAGGGGAGAGAGGTCATATTGCCGTGCCATGTTCTTAAATGCAAGTTAGGAAATAGGGGATGAGAGGTCATATTGCGCCATGTTCTTAAATGCGCCACACCTTCCTCCTGCCAAAAATTCGATTCGAACGAATACTCGAATGTGTGCATTTACTTCACCACCAATAACTCGCTCTTATTCCGGTCCACGGGGGCAGGTGAGGTGTCCCAGCTTTCTCCCAGACCATTTTTTTGTGATTTCCTCTATTTTCTTACGCGGAACAGTCTATTTCGACATTTGCTAGTGTCATGGTTTATCTTAGAGATAGTGATTCAACTAATAACCAGTATAGCTGCGCCTTTTGAAGCGACTAACGGAGCGAGCGAGGGGGTGAGTCTTGCACGTGCGAAACTTCGAGGGGGTACCTCCAACTGACTTGTGCACGGCACCCTACTGACCGGTTTCTAGCGATGTGCCAAATTTGAGCACAATCGGCCCAGCCGTTCTCGAGATCTGGGAGCGGCACCCTGCACGTGCGCACGTGCAAAATGGGTCCCAACTGACTTGTGCACGGCACCCTACTAACTGGTCCCTAACCGTGTACCAAATTTGAGCGCCATCGGTCCAGCCGTTCTCGAGATCTGGAAACGATTCCTGCACGTGCGCACGTGCAGCAGCACCCCAACTCTGGCACATGGATATGCAGTGCCTAGTGGGTGTCTACCTACATGCCAACTTTCAGCGCAATCGGCCAAGTAGTTACCGAGATATTGCAACAATTACAAAACTGACACCTCTTCATTTTGCACGTGGCACGTGCATAAGGGGTCACCTATATGCATCGGGAATAGTCCAATACTTGGTAGAAGGAATGAAGCTACCCTACAAAAATTACCGCGTGTAAATCGGTCAAGTGGTTGCTGAGATATAGGCCTCGCAAAAGCGTCCGCACGGCTCACAATTACCGGTTTCGGCACTCACAACATCGAGAAATGCCTTAAATCGGAAATATTGAATTTCAAAATTGCAGCATTTTGATTCAGAGGGGCTAATGCATAGGAATACCCCTCTGAATGTGTGACGTCAGCGCAGATATCTAACGATTTTTAAATGTTTGACTAAAACGTTTTGTAGCACGCGGTGGTATATGCTGCTTTGCGCGCAACAAATGCCGCACTTTCAAATAAAGTCGCTAGGAACAGCGGAGATCCCAAAAAGTAAACAAAAGTAAAAGTCTTAAAGGGAGATAATGAGCTTTCTTTTTTCTTTAATAAAAATTACTCGACATCTATACTATTTCTACTGTAGTTTCTATCAAATATGAAAATTTCCTAGCACATTTTCGTATGTGAAAAAGGTTTTTATTTTTGCAAAAAAGAAGCAGTACTTGCAGTACTTGTAACACCCACCGAAATGCGTTGTCCTTCTCTATAAAAAAGTCGCAGTATATGGCGCTTTTGTTTCAAACAGCGACGCTTGGGTTTTTGTTTATGTTATCGCCTTGTCGTTGCTTGGTTGTAAGGATTCTAATTTGAATTGGAGTTAATTCGGTTTAGAATTAATTAGATTGAGATTCGTACATAGTGCCTACCAAGATACCTATAAGAAACGTGCCTACTCTTCTTTGTTTCCAAGTATTATTTTGCGCCACAAATGAACGGCATGCGCCAGAAACGCAGCCAAATCTTGCGATTGCGACTACGAAATTCATTATTTTGGCCTCAGAGCCTGAAGCGAAAAATACAAGCATATTTATTTCAAAAAGACTTCAGGTTTGTCGAACGGTGTTATGAGAATTTTGATAACAGTACTCACATAAGTTTTCAGTGATGCCGCAAAAGTGTTGTATCTATCTTCTTTTATTGTGCAGTCGGCGGGACCGATTCAAAATTGAGTCGTTGCTACTAAAATAGCAGCATATGGCCTCAGATGATGAACAGGAAAAATAGTTGCGTAAATTTAGACATAAACCACCCCCAAACCATGAATATCTTTTGAAGGCACTATAGACGACCATTAACTAACTAGATGTGATGAAGATCAAATGTAAGGAATACGCTCATTTTACAAAATTACATGCAAGTACCAAAAAGTGATGTAAGTACTTATTCAACGGTCATTTTCAGCGCTCCCCGCTAACGTGACTTCAAGTTGAGATATTTGCGGCAAGGTACCGCATTGAGCAAAATGGTTTTAATTTACATTATAACTTGTTGTGTTTTGTCAGAAAATGATCCTAACTCAGATTTTGTGGAAAAAGGTCATTATCTCCCTTTAATATCTTGAAAACCGGTTAATATTTTTCGATGAAATTTGGTAGATATTCGTTTTTGCTCTTTCTGAACCGAGCGACATCACTTTCATGCCAATTCATTAACTTTTTTGAAGGTGGGAGGGTCCCTTTAAGGTGGCGCAATATGACCTCTCTCCCCTATAGGTTAGGTACACCGTACCTACCATTTGATGAGCGGTTTATCGGTAGTTAGATTGCCCTGAGGTTACTGAATTCATCATATCATATGTTCCTCAACACTTGTCAGCTATATATATCCGAAAATCATGGGCGCATCCAGGTGCTGAACATTGGTAAGCAAATACACACAGCGAATGCTTGCTTCTTAGATCATGACGTTCGGTATGTATAGTAGCAAATGCAATAGCGATTGAAATGAACAAAATTTGTAGGCATTACATGTTCACAAAAGAACAAGAGGTGGATCATAGGCGGTTCCAGGACAAAGAAAGGGAGGCCGATTTCACCTCCCAACTTTGGTGCTGTCTACGCCGCCTGTGAATTATTAATCTATCTTTAGTCATCTTATCACACATTTTTGTAACATAAGACAATTGTCAACCCGTTTTGATGACCACACCAACAAAAACCCGATTTATTATACATCTGTGCAGTAGCCAGTAGGTAGGTACTAGGTACCTCCCAAATTAGATTACCTTTATTCGCCTATGATTTTTCGAAAAGCTTATTTTTATGTCAAATGTTAATCTCTGGTTCATTCTGCATCGATCAGCAGTATTTGCGTCAAAATTGGTTATAAAACATGGCCTTGGTAAGCAGTCGAAAAAACATCTGCAATTTGCAGTTTTTTCCCCCTCCTTAATTACTTTTCTCGAACTTTCTTTTTTCACGATGTATAGATCACGTTGAGCGCAAGCGAATGCCGTTTGAATTGTAAAAATCGGCCGGTTAGATTTAGAGATATCAAGGGAGGTCCTAAACACTATTAGGGGTGGCCAGGAGCCTGCCACTAAGGTCGGTCTGGTGGTGAGCCTAGAAAGAACGGAGCTAAAGCTCCTAAATCATTTTGCCACGAGTTTTGATCACTGGACGTGAATTCGTGTAAGAATAAAGAAGTCGTGAGAAAGGGCTATCGAATGCGTTTCTCTGCGGCGCTGCAGCAGCTCTATTGGTTCTTGAGTTATGCGCCGGAGTTTCGAAATGTGTTGACATACATAAGCAAGATTTTTCTTTTGATGTTCTCTGGTGACCAGACCTTTGACCAGACCTAAAAAATGACTGCTTTCGTCTTGATTTTCGAAAGTCTTTCGAATGCCGCTTGCCGCGTGTCGCTACGTGGCCAAGGAGCCGATTTAGAAGGAGAGGGGGTGTTCAGACACCCACCGGCCCGGAGCGGTTGGCACCGAGGACCGGCCTGGCGCGGGTTAAAGGTAGTGTGCCAGCTTTCCTGGACCGTATGGAGTTAATGGCCCAGATAAGGAGAACCAGATTTTTAGAACTTATCCATACCTTCAAAACTCATGGAAACGTCTTAAATTCTTCAAATTTTGAGTACCCCAGTGCGAAATTCGCCCCGACGGGTTGTCGGTCGTACCCCAACCACATTCACACCACTATGAACAATAAATGCACACACTGAAATCGCTATTACCGATAGGCTCATCCAATCAAGTTTCGATAAACCCGTTCAT